GGGGCTATACGGGTAGTCGTACTCATTTAAAAAAAAACAAAAAACAATAGGGTTTTTTAAATTGCTGCTTAGAAGAACATTGCTGCATGAAAAAAACAACGACAACAAATGCTACAATTGTTTTATTTTCTTGTTTTTTTCCGACATTTAGAATTGTATAATTTTGACGAAATGTTTGTCGAGCACATGCAACTGATAATATAGATGAAGAAACTGCAACAACAACAACAATCAGAAGTTGTGACGTAGATCTACTAATAATGGCAATAATACTCATTGCGTTTATGTAACGCATACCCACGCTCTGCAGGATGTTTGATGCGCTTTTCAATGACTGTACATGTATTACCCGGACAGACCTAAGAACTAGGGCACTCAGAAACATTCATGGGGTCCCGGGAAGCATACAGTGCATGCAAGTTGCTGTTTGTGCAGCCTGTATCTCTTCCTCTGTTGTGACGCCAGAGCTCTCTCTCCTGTTCCATAAAGTGGTGCGAACATTCCACACGACGCAATCCGGGGAGACTTGTTCGACTTCATGTTTCGGGCCAGGAGCGTCCTTCAATCGGCTTTGTTCACAGTCCTTCCTCCTTTCTGCCGTGATCTGATCAAACGCATTTTTTTTACATTTTGGCGGGAATTTTTATAAAATTTCACGAATGAATTCTACATTTCGAAAGCCATCTTGAGATATCAATATGAAAGCCTAACTGTGACTAGTTTCTGAATAAATTAGCCTTTAAGATTAATTTGTTAAAACGCATTTATTTCCAATGTGATCTGATGAAACTCATTTTTTTCAGAGATGATTCGATTTTTTTGTTCTTGCATATTGACCGTCCACAACTGCCATGATCTGATGAAACGTTTTTTTTAACTGCGTATCGACCATCCGTATCTTGTCCCTGTTGGTGCAGACGATGCTCTGTCTCTCAAGATCGGAAAAATCAGACACGTTTGCTTGTGTTTCTCTAACCGTTCTAGCTTTTACAGGGTCGGTTTGGTATAACAGCCCCCTGCCTACTGTATCTTTCTGTAGACCAGACCTATGCTCATTGTACCCCATCTTACGACACGCAGCATCACGACAGCTGGTATTCTTACTTCCTCATAG